GCCAACTTGGGGTCTGGCTCAGTGGGATTGGGGCCACAGGGCTATTTCTCAAGCCCAGGAAGCAGGTGCACAGCTGCTTGGATGGCCTGTGGGTGTGTCTTCTTGAGGTGGCCCAAAGAGCTGTCTCCCAGGCCCAGGACACAGGCATATACCTTCTTGGCTGGCTTGGGTATGTTTCTGCTGAGAGTGGCCCACATGGCTGTTTCTCAGGCCTTGATTGTAGGTGTGGGACCTTAGGACAAGCTAGGAGCATGTCTGCAGTCCTGGGTGCAGAGCTATGTCTCAGCCCCTGAGCATGGGTGTGTAGATGCTTTGTGGGCCTGAGGGTATGGCAGCTGTTCAAGAATTTCCCCTTCTGGGGCATAGTTCTCAGTGGTTTGACTGGCTCAAGAGCAGGATTTCTCTAGGTGAGACTGCCAGATTGTTCCCCCAGCAGTAAGTGCAGATGGCAGGGGTTTGTTTACCTGCTGTATTGGATGAGTCACAACACATCCTGGGCTCAGGCGCCATAGTGCTAGGGTTCTGGTATTCAGCTACCCATTTGGGCTTAGTGGAATGAAGATAGAGCCCCATTGGTGGAGGGGTGCAACAGCTACTGGCCCCCAGAGCAGAGCATATTCCAGAGGTGGCTCTGGTCTCAAGATGGCACCATGTTTCAGTCAGCAGCTTGGCTCACCCAGGGTGGATAGAGGGTGGAGAGTGCACACCTTGTGCTCCTAATCTGGACCAATGCAACTGCATGAATTCCCAGCAGCTCTCTAAACTGGGCACAGGGCTTGTGAGGACTGTGGGATTCTCCTGTAGTGAGGACTGTAGTCATTTGTGGTGGCAATGGGGGCTGATGTTACCTTTTCCCTGCAAGAGAGAGTCTATCCTTTCTCTGGACTGATAAGATCTGGGCTGGCAAAAAGGGCTGCACAGGCTGCCACAGTGCCTCCGCACTGCCCTCCTGTGCTTCCAGTCGCCACAGGTGCTTCTTCACTCCCCCTGCTGCTCTCTAGCACTCTCCCTTTGACACTCCTGTCAAATCTTAACTACTTGTTCATTGCCTTGGTCTTTTCTTTTGGGGGAGACAAGCACCAGACATGTCTAGTCAGCTTTCTTGATGTCATCATTCACTTATAAAATTCTTAGTGTGAGTCATAGTAAAAAAGTTTGAAAGCCACTGGTAGTAGTTAAGAGTGTGTGTGCTATAGTCAAATTCCTTTGGTTAGAATCTTGACCTTAACACTTAACATGAGACCTTAGCAATTTATCTCATTTCTCTGTGCCTCAGTTTCTTCATATGTAAATGGATTGATAACAGTATCCACTGCAAGGGGTGGTTATGAAGATGAAATAGTTTAATGCACATGGTACTCATAGAATAGTGCTGGGCATATATTAAGCTCAATAGAAGTTAGCTATTATATTATTACCATTACTATTATTATTGTTGGTAGCAGCAGCACCTTCATATAATGTATGTAAAGTACTTAATTCAGTGCCTAATACAGAATAAGGACTCAGTAGTTGCTTGTCATTGTGGAAGAGACTTCTGGTGCTTACCATATCCCATTCACCCCTGCTTTCTGGCACACAGGATAATGATACTCCCCCATCCCATTGCAGCCAGGCTTGACTGGGCCATAAGACTCCAGTGGGTTACAGGTAGAAGGGATGTGTGTCACTTCTAGGCCTGAGCAATTGATTGCCCATTTGAGACTCTCAGGTGCTCTTTTACCCATGAGCCAAACCCTGTAGACTTGGGCTGGGAAAGCGGTGAAGCCATGTGTTGGAACCTCCATGACCTGAGTCCTCGAGTGACATGTGAAGCAGAGAAGACTGCCATGCTCACTTTCACAAGCCTGTGTTGGACATGTAGCACGTAACCTCTGTTTGTTTGTTTGTGAATAGCAGCTTTATTGAGATGTAATTCACGTACCATATAATTTGCCTTTTTAAAGTATACAATTCAGTGGTTTCAATACATTCAGAATTGTGCCAGATTTTGCAGGGCCTTGGAAGCCAAGCTCAGGAGTTTAAGTTTTATCCTAAGGAAATTGGACAGTTAATAAGGGGTCGTCTTTTAATCACAAAATGTGTTTATTAAGGAAATAATTTGACAAATAGTACTTCTTATTTCTTTTGGCTTTTCCCTAATTTTTCCAAATGTTATATATTTTATCTTCCTGCTTACCATCATATCATATTTATATGACTTTGTTTACTACTTTCACCTTAGCATCATTTCATAGACACTTTTCTCTGTGTCTCTATCACCTTTATTTTTAATGGCTACACCTTATCTCTTGCTATTGTTGGATATTTATAGTTTCATTATATGTATAGAACTGCTTTCACACACACACACACACACATACACACACACACATGCGCCCGCACACACGCACATGTGTGTGTATGTGTGCAGGTCTAGGACTAAGGGGCCTAGGGAAGTGCCTAGCAGGTTAAATTTAATGAAGTATCTACCTTCTAGCATAAATTTTGCACCTATGTACCTAATTTGCCTCACCCTAATTGAGGCCTTATATCTATAGTGTGTATGTATATGTCTCTATCTCTGTGTGTGTTTTGCTTTTAAATTATTTCCTCCGGAAATAATTCCCATGATGGGAGATTACCAGTCCAGAGAATGTTAAGATTCCAATTACCAGTGTATTTCTTAGGAGGATTCCATTGAAGGATTTTTTTTCTTTTTTTAACAAATTTGTAATATGTGCACAATGGTATTTTACAAAGATTACAGAGGCAATAAGGGTTCTTATGGTATGATCACAATAGTGTGTCCCAACTCTAGTAATATTATTTCTGTAGAAAGTCTACTGATATGACTTTTCACATGTACATAGCCCAGCCCAAATACTCCAGTTTTAGAAAAATGTATACCTTCACGCAATCAAGTTTATTGCTCAGTTATTATCGAAACAACAACAAAGCCTCTGATATCAAGTCCATGTCCCTGATAGATGGCCCTTCTGCGTATACCAACCTGGTCACTCAAGTTGTATCATTTTCACAGAGATTTGCCCTTTGGATTTGGATCCAGAAGCTTCAATTGACAGAACAACCTCCATATCAGGAAGGATCTTGTGGAAGAAGCATCATGGGCCATCTGCTGTTTCACACAAACCAAGTTCCCAGCTTTAGGCTGTAATTCAAATTCTATTATTTGGGGACAAATAGCATCAGAATCTGTCCACTAACAATTGTTTTTACAAAAGTCAAATGGAAAAATATCTGGGCTAGTATGTTCTGTGTAAATTTTTCCAGTGCGGTGGGGGTGGGGGCACTTTTTAAGAAGCCACTAAACGGAAAATCACCAGAATGGAGTTTAGAGAGGTCCAGTTCCTGAGTCACTACCAGGCAGATGCAGTCCCGATCTTGCATAATTAGGTAAAAGATTACAGGGTGATGGAGCATAAAGAGCAGGTTGGGGTGAGGTAGAGCATCACGGAGAGAGAGGTTGCTGGAAAGAAACCAAAATTGTCTTCAAGGCTCTTCAAATGACTTTCCTTTGGCTATCTTGAAAAAAATAATGTGTTTTTATACCTGCTGATCAGGGCTGATCAATTTATTATTTAGTACCTTCTAATCTGAAATACTGAAAGCTATGATATTACAGCTAACTTTTTTCTTTTTCTTTTCTTTTCTTTTTAGACAGGGTCTTGCTTTGTCACCCAGGGTGGAATGCAGTGGCCCCATCATAACTTACTGAAACCTCCAACTCCCGGGCTAAAGGGATCTTCCTGCCTCAGCCTCCTGAGAAGCTAGTTGGGACTACAACGTATGCCAACATACCAGCTCTTTTTTTTTTCTTCTTTTTCTTTTTTAGAGACAGGGTCTTGCTATGTTGCCCAGGCTGGTTTCCAACTCCTGGCCTCAAGCAATTCCCCTGCCTCAACCTCCCAAAGCACCACCTAAGTTAACTTTTTCTTCTATGGGTTTCGGCCTATTCACTTTATTCCTTCTAGATAGTTTTGCTAACTGTACTGGAACTTGCCACTCTGATAAAGTCTCACTTTCCAAAGACTGAATAGAATCAGTCTTACTGATTCTGAATGGATAGTCTTACTTTCCAAAGTATTCTGTGTATTCCAGATCAACCTCATCAGGGCTTTCTAACCGTAAGAAATGCTAGCAGCCGGACTCAGCAGCTCACGCCTGTAATCCTAACACTCTGGGAGGCTGAGGCGGGTGGATGGCTTGAGCTCAGGAGTTCGAGACCAGCCTGAGCAAGTGCGAGACCAACTCTACTAAAAATAAAAACAAAAACTTACCTGGGCGTGGTGGCTCGCGCCTGTAATCCTAGCTACTTGAGAGGCTGAGGCAGGAGGATCACTTGAGCCCAGGAGTTTGAGGTTGCTGTGAGCTAGACTGACGCCATGGCACTCGCCCTGGACAACAGAGTGAGACTCTGTCTTAAAAGAAAAAAGGAAGCAAACAAACAGAAAAAGGCTTGTTGACCCACACTCAGAGTGTACAGACACAGCTAGCACCTAGGGTGGGGTGCAAAGACACCTCTAGGAGGCTACATACAGGCTGGGCAAACCCACATTTCATGAAGGTGTTCTGGAAAAATGTTGCAGGCTATTTCTCTGACATGCAGCTTTTTCTATGACTAAAGTGCACTAAACTACACGTGTAGTCAATACAGATTAAGGGCAGGGCATTTGTCAAATTCCCAAAGAGCAGCAAACTAGATTTGGACAGTAGGTAAATGCATTCTTCTGGGCTCTTAAGTAAAATTAAAACTTCTTTCTAGTCTATTTATTCATAGGATGCCTGTTACTTTTGATAAAGCACTCACTTTTCCACGCGCCACACAGCAGCCAGCGAGGTCTCTCCTGCCTCATGGAGCAGGGGCAAACCGTTGGGGCGGGGAGAATCCGGAGGCGCTGGGACCTAGCGGAAGAAGCGTTCTCGCCGACCCCCGGGCGCCTGCACGGCTGACCAATCAGAAGGCTCGTTCGCGCAGCCCCGCACCAATTGCAGGCACCCTTTCTTCGGGGCGCACAGGCTATTTAAAGGTCCGCGCCCCTGCCACCTCGGAACGGTTCCTGGCAGGGGTCTGTGAAGCTCAGCAATGGCCAACCACGTCGTGCTCTACACCGGCGCCAAGATGCCCATGCTGGGGCTGGGCACCTGGAAGGTAGGTGCCCTGCGGGGCGCGGTCCCGCGGCTCGCTTCGGGCTCCGTGCGGCCAGCGGCTGGGGCTGGGAGGGACCCGGAGTGACCCTGAGCCGTCGCGCCGCGGACGCCCGGCCTGCTGGGAGCCACACTCGCCTCACTGCGTGCCGGGCGCCGGGTCCCGGGAACCCGCGGGCTGGAGCCGGGTCTGCGGGGATGGGGCGCCGCGGCGGGCGGGGCCCGGCCTCCAGCGTCGCGCGGGGGGTCCTCCGTTTGGGAGCCGCGCGCGCTGGAGGCCGACCCGGCGACGCTTGGTGGGCGGCTCCCCAGGCCGCAGCTGGAATGCGGGCGGACGCCCGCGGAAGGGGCACCGGGAAAGTGGGCGTCCGGGACCCCGAGGACGGCGGAGCAGCCCGGGAGCCGGAGGCCGGAGCGAGATGTGCGAGCGGAGCGCCAGCCTTGCTCTTCGCGGGCACCGGTGGCGCCTTTGCCTAGCTGGTACACAGTTTGTCCTTAATCGGCTCAGCTGTTGCTCCCTCGGGAATAAGCGCCTCAGGCGGAGCCCGCGGAGGGCAGGTAATTTAATTAGATGGCGCGCGTTTGCCCGCAGCCAATCTCGGGCTGCCCTGGGTCTGTGGAACTGCACAGAAAACCTGTGCGCGCCATTGCTGGTTGGTAACTGTTAGCAGGCACCAGGGGTGACATTTTCCCCAGGAAACTTAGATACCTCGTACAGTGTGCCCGAGAAATGCCTCGCCTGACAAAAATGGAAATGGAACATGAAATATCATCACAGGTTATCTGAAAAATTTGAGAATAGGATATGAGAAAATGATTTAAAAAATAAAAATGATAGCCTGATTATCTGAAAATTGAGGAACACAGAAAGGTGACGCTGTGGGAGCTGAGGCAAAACCCAGTTTTTTGGTGGTTTTTTTTTTTCTCCTCCAAGAGGTGGGGGTCTGGCTCTGTTTCCCTGGCAGGAGTAGAGTGGCCTGATCAAAGCTCACCGCAGCCTCAAACTCCTGGGCTCAAGGGATCCTTCTGCCTCAGCCTCCCACGACAGACAAGGCCCACCACACCCAGCTGTTTTTTTCCGTATTTATTTGTAGAGACAAGGCCTCCTTATGTTGCCCAGGCTGTCCTGGAACTCCTGGCCTCAAGCAGTCTTGCCACCTCAGGCAGGAGCCGCCACTCCCGGCTTAAAATCCAATGTTTTTTAGCAGTTTGTAAATTAGCTTCAGGGTACTGTATATTACATTTACCAGCTATCACCAGGGTTTTTGTCATACGTGAACTTTGAATATGGACCCAGGCGTCGTCCATTTACACACAAAGAAGGTAAAACAGAAAAGATTGAGTGTACTGTGAGATGGTTTGAAGTAGGCCAGAGGAGTTTACCTCTTCCTTAAAACCTATGGCTGAAAATTAGTAAATATAAAAGTTGATGAGGAAAGGGTCATAGATTTGCTTCACGTGGGAAGTATTTCTTGGCCAAAATGATCAGTGCCTAATTTCTGTTTCTTCCAAAAAGTTCAGTAGTGGCTCTGAGCGTGTAATTGAATTATGACCGTGACACCAAGCTAAATTCCATCTGTTGCAGGTAATGCTCATAGAAAGGATGTGAAAAGATGCTTTCTTGACAAAAACAAATAGTCTTTTTTTCATATATGATGATGCAGCACACAGGCATACATGTGTAACTGGAATAAAAGTTTCACTAAAACAGTACTTACCCATACTGCATTCCAATATTTTTTATTCTGTTCCATTTTTCCAAAAAGCTATGGCTATAATTTAGAAATTAGTTTCTGGACCCTTCGTTTGAACATCACTACTCAAGAGTAAAAGGAATAAAATTTTATAAAATGGATTTCAAATCATTCATGTGAGCACTCAACACCCCAAAAGCTGTGTATTTGTTTAAAATAATATCATAAAAATCTGCATTCTGAGGCCGGGCGCTGTGGCTCACGCCTGTAATCCTAGCTCTTGGGAGGCCGAGGCGGGCGGATTGCTCAAGGTCAGGAGTTCAAAACCAGCCTGAGCGAGACCCCGTCTCTACTATAAATAGAAAGAAATTAATTGGCCAACTGATATATATATATAAAAAATTAGCCGGGCATGGTGGCGCATGCCTGTAGTCCCAGCTACTCGGGAGGCTGAGGCAGGAGGATCGCTTGAGCCCAGGAGTTTGAGGTTGCTATGAGCTAGGCTGACGCCACGGCACTCACTCTAGCCTGGACAACAAAGTGAGACTCTGTCTCAAAAAAAAAAAAAAAAAAAAAAAAATCTGCATTCTGGAAGACAAAGTTTATTGAAAACTAAGATAGTGTCTAGCTTGTTCACTGCTATTTTCAGCTTTTCTCACAGTGCCTGGCAAATATTGTAGTAGGTATCCAAAGTTGTGTGTTGAATTAATATGAAGAAGTAAAATAACTTTAAAGATAGCTATACAGTAAAAATGCCCACTTGTATTCCTGGGGTTGAGGAGGTGGGGCTGGTATAGAATTGTATAGAGGCATGTGGGTAGGGGCAAAATGGTGGAATAAATGGTATAAGTATGGACTTGGGGTAGATTTTCTTTTTTTCTTTTTTTTTTTTAAATGACTTAGTATCTTTCCCCTGGGTACAGATTCCTTTGCAGATGCTCCACAGCGATGTGGTCATTTGCTTGTCTTTGTGACACCTGGAGGAGGCTCTGCAAGTGGGTGCAGAGCCACCCATGGAACTTTCCATATCATAGTAGCTGTGTTCTACCATTCAGACCCTCAGCAGGGCTCTAGTAGTCTCCAGTCTACTGTTTTATTGAAGATCCTCAAACTCCCTTCTCTCTTCAGAGGTGAGGGTTTCATGCAGGTGGGAGGCCATCTCTGCCCTACACCCCAGGTGGCTTAGAAAGGGTTTCCTCCTGGCATGTTTGCCTTCCCCATTAGGATAGTCACTAAGCCCATAGCCTTGTATTTCCAGGAAGCCTTTAAAATAGAGATGACCTCTGATGCCAGCCAGTGTTCTCTTACTCGTAGTGTTTTTGACCTAGTTGAAAAATTGTTGGTAGTAAATGGTCATTATAACTCTCCCATGTACACTAGGAATGCTTAGAATGGAGGTACAACTGTGTTTATCAATCTTTTCCCCGTTATCACCTTCCCTTCCCAGCTAGGAGCCTTGTGAGATATATTTTCCCTAATTGCACCCCAATAAAATTTTAATATCACAGATTATATTGTGCATTTGTTTATGTCCTGTAGCCTTTTAGAGGGTCACAACCTTTTTAAAAGCTAAGATTGGGGTTTTTTGCCCCCCCCCCCCCACACACACCCAGGAACCACTTTTTGCCTCTTTGGAGACTGTAGCATCCCCTTTGAGAGTGCATGAAGTAGAAGAAAATATGCCAAGAAAGACTTCCTGCCACTTTGTCCTTGTAGTGGCCGGAATCTCAGGATGAGAGAGAATGTAGAGGCACTGTGGACATCGCAGCTAACACTAGAGCTTGGTTTACTGTTCTCCTGCCTAGTCTCCCTGCAGGCCTTCATCTCTCCAGCTCTTCAAGATCAATGACATTTAAAAAAAGTCCTGTCCCTGCAGGTCCAGTCTTGGTCCATCCACACATCAAACAAGAGGAAGCAGCAGTGTCTTAGAATTAAGGACAGAGTGATTAAAATAGATCGGGAGGAACTTATTCTCTATGCTTGTTGGCAAACGTGTTTGTGAGCTTTAATGTAAGATATTAGCCAGATTGACTGTTACAGTGTGATAAGGCAGTGGGAAGGATCGTTCTTCATCAGTCAGTGTTTATCATTTGAAATGGTAGTTGTATATTAAACTGTAAAATGAATTTGGACACACGAGCCAAGTGAGGTTAGTTTATCTACCTTAAACAATGAAAAGTACACTTTCTGTTGACTGGATAGTACATGAAAGAGGTAGCACTTGGTAATCGTTCTCTGGATGTTCCCTGATGTTTATGGCTCCTTGATGATGTCTGGAGTCTGCCTTTGTATGCTCACATTAAGTCTGTTCACATCAGAAGCTATATTTTCCTATTTCTTGCTTCAGGATTATCATTGGCACACTATTTTCAAATTCCTCACCCAAGATGGGTTTTTCCCCCCAAAGTGAAGTTTCCTTTATTCCCCCCCACCACTTCATTTCAAAAGTAATACATGCTAACTAGAGTAATTGAAAAAAAAGAAAATACAAGAAGTACAGAGTTCCTTCTTCCCAGAGATCCCCATAGCTAATACTACAAAGGATTTAATCTCTGAGGTTCTTTGTTTTCACTGTAGACACTGTCCTATAATCATCTTTCTGTTTGGAGCTGTGATTTTTTTTTTTTTTTGACTTCAAGAGGAAGTAGAGGAATAATGTCCTCAAGTAACTAGTAAGACCCACAAGCAAAAGGGAGGAAGATTAGGTATTGTTTTTGTTTCATTTTCTTAGAGCCCAGGCTGGTATACAGTGGTTTGATCTTAGCTCACTGCAACCTTAAACTCCTGGGTTCAAGTGATCATCTGCCTCAACCTCCCAAGTAGGTGGGACTATAGGCATGCACCACCCCACTCAGTTAATTTATTATTATTTTGTAGAGACAGACCTTGCTATATTGCCCAGCCTGGTCTCAAACTCCTGGCCTCAAGCAATCCTCCTGCCTTGGCATCGCAAAGCGCTGGGATTACAGGTGTGAGTCTCTAATCCAAGATTAGGTTTTAAAAGGAGTGTTGTGTGTATCTGTGTGAGAGCTACACTCATATTATCTGAGTTGGTATTTGCTGGCCTGTGAGCGCTATAAAATGACGAAGCAGGGCTTGTAGAAAGGGGAACTCAGGGGCAGAGGCTTCTCACTGCCATCACTTGGTGCCATCAGCCCAGAACGTTGTAAAATTGCTGCCTAGCGTAGAGCTTTGAGGAGGCAGAAGGTCCAAGGGGAATGGGCATGCATGGATTTGCCCAAGTCACGGGACAGATTAGTGGCAGGATTGGGTTAGAAACATGTAGTATTTGTACAATTCAGCTATTTGTAATTTGGGTGTTTCATTTGGGTTTCTACAGATAGAAGCATGTTTTCATGGATTATCTTTTTATAAGTCTCAATCAGGATTCTTTCCTTCTGTTTGTATTTTCCTTATGTTGACATGGAATGGGGAGATATTGTAATCATTTTAGCATTCCCAAGTTTATTGAATGGTTTCTCACCAGAACTTAAGTTGGCTGCTTCATTATTGATAAGGGAAATTAGTGTCTTCAGGGAAGGATTCAACATTGAGATAATTAATGTTGAATATAGTTGTAGATTCTGGTACATTTTTATTCCAGAAGGTGACTTTTTTCCCTTATCAGTGCTGATAGCACTTTGGTCACCTTCCCAGGACATGTGTCTCCAGCTAATCAGTATGCTATCCGGCAGTCAGGAAGCAGCAGCTGCTTTTTTTCCCCACAATTGTAACCAAAATTTAATTCTAAGGATGCTCATAAAACAAATCACGAATGACAGCATGAAAAAAAAATCTTGCACAGTAACTGAAAGTTCAACTCTGCAATGTATCCTTACACTGGCAGGACATTGGTATTAATTTGATTATCTCAAATTTCCAAATAAAGAAAATTACAAACATTATATTCATATATAGCAATCACATAAGGAACTTAGGACCTAAAGCAAAGGTAAAATTTCTTTGAATTTATCAGATTATATACTAATTAGGCAACCTCTGCCCAGCATGAAAACTAGTTGGATTTTTTAGAAACCTCTCATTTAGTATAACGGTGCAACTTTTATTTTCAAAGACTGCTTGTTCAACAATAGCTGCATACTATATCCCAGATATGAAAAACAAAGGTAAATCTTAGTTCAGTTTTTCCTAGTTTTGTTTCTGTATTTTAAAAAATCCACACTTCAGCTTGGCAAGATTTAGAGGTTTATTATCAGTCTTTGCTAAAGTTCAAAGCAAATTCAATTTCGCTTAAGGGAACATTGTAAAGTAACAATTCTTTGTATTAATATTATATAGCTCATATGATCCATCTCAAACCATAGAGAATTATACCTTTTGTGTCACTGTCTCAAGAGACAAACAAGTTTGAACAGCTAAACCATCTTAAAAATACACCAGGCTTCTGAAGTCAGCTTCTTCGTGACCTCTTGTCATCATATCTGTCTTTGACTTTCTTTAAAAATGTCACATGAACTTTTTTTAGTTTTATACCAACCATTCACAACCTTGGTTTTCCTAGTCTTTGCTCTTCTGATTCCAAGGAATTGAAAAACCAATTTAAAAAAAAACAAAGGTGACTATATGGGGTGGGGATCCACGACCTCCCAAATGACAGTTCCTGACTTTGGGTATCCAGGGTGCGGTCTCCTTCAGCTTTCCTCCAGCAGCTCCAGGCTCACATTCTCCCAGCACAGAGACCCCAGCAGAACCAGGGCTTGTCTCAGTAGTTCCAGCTCAAGTCCAAAGATTGAGTCTCATGGCCTAGCTTTGGCCATGTTCCTGCCCCTGCGCCAGTCACTGTGGCAGGTGGTATGTGGCTAGATCAGGCCTGGGAAGTGTGTGCTCCCGTCTGTCCAGGTCTTGGGCTGTGAAGTGGCCAGGCAGGCACAGGACAGGGCACGCAGCAGCAGAGCAGCTACTCAGAGGAAAATCAGTTAAGGTGCCATAAAGCCAGAAGAAAGTTGTGTGTGCTGGGCAAACACTTTCCTCACCCAGGTTCCCAGTTGTCCTTTCTCTTGGGCAGGGTTGTGCTCTGCCCTCCTTGCTCATATCAGTGATGGCTGTGCCCAGGACACCATAGAAAACCTGTGGCAGGTCATTCTTTTCTGGACATGCTGAGATTGTCTTCTCTGTTACTGTTCCTCAATTGTGCAGAGTGGGGAAGGCTGCAGGTGCAGCTTCTGCAGTTCTCCAGGGACATAGGATGTTGCCAGATCATCTGAAGGCCTTCTGTTAACTTACACATGAGGCTAGCATCCGTGCTGGCTTTCTGGGTTCCCCTGTGGTGGGGAGCCAGCTCAGCTGCTGACAGGCTCTGGTACTGGGCTGTGTTCTCCTGGTCCTCCCTCCTGCCTATTCACAACAGCTGATGTCAAAACAGCAGACATTTGCAACTGCTAATGGCCCGGGGGGGGGGGGTCATTTGTTTCCACCCCAGCTCTCCAGAGGAATGTGCTCTGTTCACTTGATAGTCCGTTGCACACATGTTTGTTGTTCAGCTGTCTGATCAGACCAGGAGCAGCACGGAGGTGAGGGACATGTCTGTGCGCTCTGTCTGGGTGCTGGTGAAGCTCAATGCTATGCAGGCACTTCCTCCTCAGCAGCCAGGCTGCCCCACTCTGGTGGTCAGATGGTTAGGCCGTGGATAGCCATTCAGTCATTTGCTGGGCTGACCACAGACCATATGGGAATCTTCCATGGTTCCTACCTTTCAACTCTTTTCTCTCTGCTAATGTCTCTGAGGAGCCATCTCCCTATCTCCACACCTTGAAGCAGATCCTCATGTGCTAAGAATTAACGCACAGGCCTTTAAGTCAGCATCTGTAACATTCATGACCTCATGATTCATGATCATCTCTCAGAACTGCTTATAAGCAAGTGGTCATCAGTGCCAGAATCCATGGCTGATGAAACGGAAAGGCAGGCAGTCACTGGCTGGCCTCAGGAACCAGTTGGGAATTGAGGTCAATAGCACAGCTATTTTTGAAATATTTTGAGCTATTTTAAGGCATTGATTTCCCTTAGTATCTCAGGATTCAGAAAGTGGGGAGTTTTTTTAATACACTGGTTTATTAATCAGTGAATGTGAAAAACCAATAAAACAAGACAGCTTCAGCATATCTTTTAAAAGTGACCTACACTGCTACTAAGTAGCTGTCAGATTCTCCTGCCATGAAATAATGCAGTATTTCACCTCAATTTTCCCATGTCCGAGGGCTGAGAGTTTAGAATACTGCTTCAGAAGTATACCCTGGCCTGTCTCTGCTGAACGTAAAGGAACAGGTGCTTCAGCAAGGATCAGTGGTTTGCACTGCCCCTCTTCATTAGCTTCATGCAAACTCTGTGTTCTGTTTTGTGTTGGCTCCATGGGTTACGTTGTTTTTTGTTTCAGTCCTCTCCAGGCCAGGTGACTGAGGCTGTGAAGACAGCGATTGACATCGGGTACCGCCACATTGACTGCGCCCACGTGTACCAGAATGAGCAGGAGGTGGGATTGGCTATCCAGCAGAAGCTCAAGGAGAAGGTGGTGACACGGAAGGAGCTCTTCATCGTTAGCAAGGTGCCACTCTGCAGGGGACCCTGGGGGAGGGACTCTAGTTCACATTTATCCAATGGCAGCATCAGCTTAGGAGCCAAGTCTATACTCTGAGTTCAACCACTGTTATCACTCAGCAGGCGATTCTTATCGGGGAAACGTGTTACCCAAGGCCGTAAAGGGCTCCACAGCTTGCCTGTCCATGGCTGTCTGTTAGATAGTTGTTCATCTGGACCCATTGGTTAGAGCCCCATGCTGATGAAGCTGATGTTTGGGTTGGCACTTCCTTTCCAAGGAATTACCTTCAAGGACGGAACTTAGCTCCCATCTGTAGACGAAGCTTTGCTGCTGGTGGATGCTATTGCTGTGCAAAGGATGTCAGGTGGGAGGGTGAGGCTGGCTCCACAGAGACCAGCCTGGTGAGAAAATTGCTCTGAGAACTCATGTTTAGAGCCTAGGGATGACCTATCTGTTCTATTTTATTTTATGCCTTCTCTTTGGTCCTTTCGCAAGGTTTCCTTGACCTGGTCATCCTACCTTTCTTTGGAAAGTTAAATAGCATCATGGTGAAATGCATAGGTTGTGAGGAGAGTGTTCTATCTTGGAGCTGTCTGGCCCCCAGCCAGGAAGCTGCCTTGAGCTGGGCAGTGATAAGATGTGCTTTCTCACTGGCTCCAGCTGTGGTGCACGTACCATGAGAAGAACTTGGTGAAAGAAGCCTGCAAGAATACGCTCAGGGACCTGCAGCTGGACTACCTGGACCTCTACCTTATTCACTGGCCGACAGGCTTTAAGGTACGGGGCACAAGGCTCAGCCGAGATCCCCTGTGGCTCAGGTACAACCTCTGGTGTGTTTTGAGCTTCCTTATTAGCAGCTTATGTATGGGTAGCCTCTCTGTCCTTGCTGCACAAGGTGTGGCCTGTGGACCAGCAGCAAAGGCATCCCCTGGGAGCTTTTTAGATATCAGTCTCAGGTCTACCCAGGCCGTCTGAATCCCAGCCATCACTGACTTATGTATACCCTTCCTCCAAGTTTGAGGAACACCAGTCTTTGCCATTTGGTGATTGTGTATGTGTAAGTTAAAACTTGATGTCAGCAAATGGCTGCTGTCTGTCCTGCACACGGCCATGAGACACAGTCAGCCCTTGTGGTCCCCTGCTTCCCCGTCTAATTCCAGTCACTTATACACACCCACCCTACATGTGTGTGTGAGTCCCCGCTTAGATTGCACATACATACACCATCCTGCAGAAGCCAGATCAGTATCTGTTGACAGCTTTGTTCTTTGTGCAAGAACTCTGGAGTTATTATGCCTTTTGCTTTCTGTCTAGCCACTGGCTCAGTTTTCTGTTGTCAGCCAGGTTGCATGTGTGTGGCTTTTATCCTAGGGCTCTATTTTACTGCACTGTAGCATACTGAGGAGGACTTGTCTTTCCTCTTTTGTTTTCTGTGACAATCCAGCAAGGCTTGACCAGATGGTGGTTTTATAGGCCAGTGATGACCAGGGCTTGGGCCCCATGAGTCCTGGTCTGGACTCCTTCCCCTGTCCACATGCTGCAGTGCATGATGGGGCTAATCTCAGTGACTGAGTATTGTGCATATCTCTATCAGACAGTCTCCCTGCTCCCACCCATTTGTTAGAAAAATGTCTGGGGCTTCCAGGGCTGGCTGTCTGTTTCCTTTTCATACTGGCACACAGATTGACCTTTAATTATCTTCCAAAAACTTAGCTAGCTGTGATGGTTTAAAAATTTTTTTAGATGAAGCTTCCCCCAAGCAGGTCTGTGAGGGGCTGTTACTGATTGTTTTGTTTGATTTTGATTATAATGACAGACTGGGAAGGAATATTTTCCACTGGATGAAGCAGGTGACGTGATTCCTAGTGACACAGATATTTTGGACACATGGGCGGTAAGATGGTCCCTGATTGAACCTTATTCCTAATTGCTGGTTCCCTGTTCTCCTGAGGAGTGAGCTACTATGTGTTTTCTTTACATTGCATTTTGTCATCCTGTCACTATTTTTTGCTCTTCTTATCTCATTGAAGCCTGTCTGGCTTTCGTGTTACTGTCTCTTGGCTTCTGAACTAGCCGGCACTGAGTAGTGAGGACATCTGGGCTCATTCTGCACCACCCGGTCTTTTCTCTTTAGGCCATGGAAAAGCTGGTGGATGAAGGGCTGGTGGCAGCTATTGGCATCTCCAACTTCAACCATCTCCAGATTGAGAGGCTCTTGAACAAACCTGGCTTAAAGTATAAGCCAGCGGTTAACCAGGTAAACTACACCGGGGAAGCTGGAATTGATGGGATCTTGTTTTACTGTCTGATCCTGGTAGTTATTTCTTGTCCACATCACCCAGCGAGTGGCCAGGAGGCAGGTCCTGTGCCTTGGCAGTGTCCTGGGTTATGATTCAGTATGACAGGGCAAATCTGGGAGTGGAAACTTGGAGGACAGAAAGGGCTGAGCCTGGCTTGTGACAACTTGGGTTCTGACACATGAGCAGCACTCAGCCATTGAGATCCCTGGACCTGTGACAGTTGACAAATGACTAAAGCCAGAAAAGGCCTTTAGGGTCTACGGCCATAGAACATCAGTAACAAGATCATTGTTCTGAATGTCAAAGACACTAGCTGGGATATATAGAAAGTTGTTGTAGCTTATCTGGGCAATATGACATTTGAAGAAGTAGGAAGGGACTTTTGCAAGGGGAACTTCATCTGTGTGAGGTCATCTTGTGCCTTCAGTGCCAACTTCAGCCCTCTCGTTTGCCTTTGCAGATTGAGTGCCACCCATACCTAACTCAGGAGAAGTTAATCCTGTACTGCGAGTCTAAAGGCATTGTGGTGACTGCCTATAGCCCTCTTGGCTCTCCTGACAGGCCCTGGTGAGCTTTCCATGGGGTTGTGTTCTCTTGTCACGTGGTGAAGATTAGAAATGACTAAAAAAAAAAAATTCAGGATGGGAGGATTAGGATTTGGGTTGCTGGCTGCCTTGAGTGGCAATGATGACAGCTGTTGACCCGGACCATCTTTCTGTCCTCAGGGCCAAGCCCGATGACCCATCCCTCTTGGAGGATCCCAGGATCAAGGCGATTGCAGCCAAGCACAATAAAACCACAGCCCAGGTACAGCCATTTCCAGGTGCTCGTGACTGTTCCCAGGACTCCCTATGTTCTTGATTCTCCCCATTAGCCAAGAGGGAGTGGTGATGGAGCCCCTCAGACCCTCACTGGCAGTGCAATTTTGGGATCCTGGAGAAAGTGCACGGATTAGGACTTCAGAAGACTCTGCCGTGGGCTCGCACAGCAATAGTACTTGCCCCTGCTGCCTGCCTTATAGACTGCCACAGGGTCAGCATTTGGTAGTTTATGTGGAAGCTCATTTCTGTACAAATATGAGACCTCTTATTATCAGCTATGTGGGAAATGTTCTCTAACATATAACCAGGTGTAATATGAGTTCCTAGCAGTGGAATGTCTCACTGTGGTCTCCTAATTTACCTGGAAACATTGAAGTATGTGGCACAGTGGCTAAGAGCAGGACCCTGGAGTCAGATCTGGCCTTGAATGTGACCCCTTCCTGCTGCTAGGTGTGACCTGAATATCTCAGAGCCTCTTTTCTCACCTGTGAAGTTGTAGCATGTTCCTCTTCGGGTAATTTGTATGATGCTGAGTGAGATGGAGATGCGGAGTGCCTGGGTTATATGCACACTCATCACTTCTCTGGGTTCACAGGTTCTGATCCGGTTCCCCATGCAGAGGAACTTGGTGGTGATCCCCAAGTCTGTGACACCTGAACGCATTGCTGAGAACTTTCAGGTAATTCCCCAGCTGGTCAGCCCTGGCCTTCCTCAGTGTAGTAGGGGATGGGAAGACTCTTCACAGGGCCTCTCATCCCATCCCTGGATTGTCATCTGTGGGAGCCCCCCCATCCTGTCCCCTCTCAGGCTGGGGAGCTGGCTTCAGTAAGCTGCAGTGAGCAAACTGGACTCGAGACTGATTCTTCATTGGTGCAACTGTGTGCAGGGGACAGGCTCTCTGCCTCAGTGGCCCCATGGTATGCGTGCATACACGTTTGCTGAGGCTCTCAAATGACACTAAGCATTTGTCTTGAAAGAAAACCTCACTTTTGAACAACTCTGCCTGGGTTTGCATGGGAGCACCATTAGTTACTAGCTGTATGATCTTAGACAAGTTACTTAACTGGCCCATGTCTCAGTTTCCCCATCTGTAAAATAACTATTTCAGGGGTTGTGAGGAAGATTAAATAAGATGATGCACCACAGCTATTCACACACTGCGTGGTGCCCTAGTAACTGCTCAAGAAATGTGCTGATAAGCCCAGGGGTTGCAAAGGACCCTCCAGGGTACTTAGCCCACCCAGTAGCTCTGCAAAGAGCCCGTGTGATAATGGACAGAGCATGGGCTTGTATCAGGGAACCAGGGAGTGTTCGGTGTGGGCACCCAGAGCACCCTCGAGAGCAGCCAGGGCTGCCTGGAGTTTCCTCCCTCCCTGCCTGGCTCTTTCTTGCCCCAGGGAGAGGGGCCAGGCTGGGAGGAGAGCCGCTGCAGGAGGGTCCTGATGGCCCTGGAGCCTCTGCTCTCACTGAGCAAAGTGGATCTGCCAAGGATACTCCCTCTTCACTTAGGATCTGGCTTGGAGTGTGGCATGGCCAGGGGGCCCCTCAGCAAACGGACAGCTGTTTCCACAGCGAGCAACTAATTTTGCCTGGTTCCACTGGCTAGAGGCTGACCAATAACACATGCCACTTGTCACCTTAGGAGGCTAGGGTGAGGGTGAGCATGGGGGAGAGGAGTGGGGTTTATTGTTTAGCAGAGGAGACAGTTTTCTTCTTACATACAGATTTAACTAGTCAAGATACAGTGCAGAACAGTGGCCACTGTGGGAATAAAGGCATATCATCCTACTAGAATTGGATCCTTTGTTTTCTTGTCTTATTTTTTAACAATATTAGAAAAGAAAAAAATGACTAATCTCAAAATGCTCACCTAATTTTATTATTTTTTCATCTTACTGTGTAGTCTTTCTGCATTTTTCCATAGTTGTAATCACAGGGTCTGTAGCAGCCTCTGTCTCTGATCCTCTGAGGCTAAGGGCTGTCCTTGGCTCTGGCTGTATGTGCAGCCCCTCCTGGCTCCCACCCAGTACTGCTGCCTGCCTGCCATGTCTGCCTGCCTTACCTGCCTCTCTATCTACCTGCCTGCCATGTCTGCCTGCCTTACCTGCCTCTCTATCCGCCTGCCTCCATGTCTGCCTGCCTGCCTACCTCCTAGCCTCCATGCCAGCTGAGTTCTTCCATACAGTCTGCTGCCTTCATGCAAGTGGTTCTCTCTGACCGATAGATACACCTTTCTTGCCATCTATGTGAAAACCTTATTATTCTTAGGCCATCTCAAATACTATCTCCTCTTTGGTCATGTCCTTCAGTTCTCCGGTTGGAATTCATTTCTAATACCTCAGGTCTTCTGGAGTATTTTAAGTTCTTTTACAGTGTATAATTATTCTTTGTATTATAGCTGTTTAAATACCTCTGTCCTTTGTTTGCTTTGTTGTAAACAGAGGCAAAGACACATGTCATATTACCCATGGTTATATTCATTACAGTTCTTACTACAGAAGTGCTTGGTAGTGTTACTGAAATGAAATAAATGGAATAAAAAGTATCGTTTTGCTTGGAGGTTCTGAAAGGGAATGACTGTTTTCATTGTTCCATGTACTGTGTTTCCCCGAAAATAAAACCTACCCATAAAATAAGCCCCAGCAGGATTTCTAAGCATCTGTGCAATGTAAGCCCTACCCCGAAAATAAGACCTAGTGATGAGCGTGGCTACGCAGTGTATCTGCACAACCCATGCATTTCATCTCGGAGTGGTAAAGAAGACGAGCAGCCCTTCTCATCTGCCCTGTGAGAGCTCTATTGCTCAACAGGAGAGATTGGGGCCAATGGTTCTAAAGAAATAGAGTCACAAGAAATTCAGGATGGAATTCAGGGTTTGGAGAGTTATGATTATGTTCCAGAAGAAGACAACTTAACTATATTTGAATAAATGTAGATTGTTGTACTGAACTTAAAAAAAATAACACATCCCCTGAAAATGAGCCTTAGGGTGTCGTCTTGAGGAAAAATAAATATAAGACCCTGTCTTATTTTCGGTTAAACATGGTAGTACCTAGTCAAAACATGTGCATTCCCTGAATAGTAACATGATAATCCTCTATGTTTAGTTTACCTTCTACTCCTCCCTGCTGAAAGCCGTGGAAGACAACTCATCTGGTCCTGCATAATATTCTGTCTTTGACTTGTTTGCAGAGTTTATTGGATTTTGTTTTTTAGGTCTTTGACTTTGAACTGAGCAGCGAGGATATGACCACCTTACTCAGCTTCAACAGAAACTGGAGGGTCTGTGCCTTGATGAGGTGAGTGAGTCCCAGTGTGACAATCAGTTCCCAGTCATCGGATGCTGCAGGACAAAAGAATGATCCCTTGTAGGCCTTAATGGCCATGTCCTTTTGTCACAGCTGTCTTGCTTTTGCACATTACCTTGCTTTGGCACCCACATGCAGCAGGAAACATTTAAACCTGCGTCAACTGAACTGCACAAAGCCATGGGGAAAATGTCAAGAGATTTGCTGTCTTCTCTCCCCAACCCAGAGGCACTGTCAGCCTAACCTGGAATAACTACCTGTTTTGGCATTTAATTTTTAAATTTCAGTGGCTCCTCTGAAACCAGGTGATCTCAGGTGGCTGTGAGTCAAATTATGGCAGAATTTGCCTGGGACTCTTTGTATTAATGGCCCTAATAAAAGGAAGTAGGAAGACTGTGGTGCTGGGGCTTGACAGTCCCAGCTCTGACACTAGTAAGCCACATGACTGAGAATGTCACTTACCTGCTGTGACCAGCAGAGTCACTAAAGGCCACTCCAGCTGTACATTCCCCAATTCTTTGTATTTCCTTTGAGTTATTGTTTGGAATCTGAGAGAGATTACTAGAAAGATTTTTTTTCCCTTTTCCTACCAGTACAATAACTAGGTAATGTTTAAAACTTTCTGCTTTCAAGAAGCAACTTCCCATGTTTCAATGGAGACTAAGACCCTACTCCTCAGTCACCATCCTTGTTCTTGTCTGAGCTCTGTTTCTGCTCTCTCCTTTGGTACTTCTTTTCTAAGCAAAATTTGAACATTCCCTAAATGGGGTATGGTGCCAGCTTTCTCTTTCCACTTCTGTGCTCACACCCTATATAGTTCAGAGTTTGCTCCACTGGTGGCTTCAGCCACAGCCCCAGGCAGATGTCTGCCAAGTTTACATGGGGCCATAACTCTCCTGTCTTCAGGCAAATGCATGCTTGACGAGCCTGTTCCTGTCACACTGTGACCTCAGGCTCTAAATAGGCCACAAACAGAGCTTATCATGAGCAGCTACACCCAGACCCTTTGAAAGGTTCTTAACCTTTAGACATTAAAATCTTTTTTTGGATCTAATAAGCAAGGGAAAGAGAAGTGAGTGAGTCACCAAGATATATCTGTTCTTTCAGAATCTATCCCATTCATTCAGTTTTCCCTTTCCCCTCCCACTGTGAGCAGAGTATACTGAAGCCTCGGGCTGACAAACCACAGTGATTTTCTAATTGTTCCTTTTCCATTTAGACTCCTCCCACCCTCCAGTGCTATTCTAAAAGCAGTGTCAGATTGTCCTGTGCACTACTGAGATAGTGGGGGTGGGTTGGGGTTGGAGTGGGGAGGAAGAGGCTGGCCCTGATAACGGCCAGGTCTCCCAGGGAGCTGTGAATATTTCAGTCAGAGCTGTATACTGCAAGCTGGGTTCACCCTGGGCCTTTCACACCCTGCCTAGCCAGTCTTTCCAGTGTCCTTGCCGTCTGTTCCCAGCAGGAGCTACTGGCCCTAGCAGATGGACGGTGAGCCTTGGCAAACACACCTGCACCTCTCAACCCTGTTCCTTCCCTCTGTGTTTCCAGTATCAAATCCTCTACTATTGTGTTGGACTCTTTTCACCTCCCGAGGCTTCTGGAGATGTCTCCTGCGTCCTTGGAGCATTTGGTGGTATTTCACTCATCCTTTGGGATTGAGTCACAAATAGACTTTTGACATCTCTTATATTATTACCTCTTTGCTCTTAGCATCTTACTGTCTTAAGTAAGAAGGATGTAATCTGGTACCGCCAGCTGGACTAAATTACTGGGAGGCAGGAATCCTCTTGCCACGCTGCATGGCCTAGGCCCAGTATTGGGCACGTGGGGAGTGTGGTGTCCATCACACAAGTGCTTGGTGACAGCCCATGGCAGAGGGGCCTGTAGGGTGAGCCGCTTGCCCCAGCTGCAGACTTCTAAAGACTCAGAACTGGCTTGTCGCCTCTGAGGCCTCTCTTTTTGCCTATAATGAGACACTTAGCATTTCTGTGTATTAAGAGTTTGTCTTAGCAAACATCACTTCCTTGAAAAGCAGATGTGTGTTCTCTTTTCTCCTGACAGCTGTGTCAACCACAAGGATTACCCCTTCAAGGAGGAGTTTTGAAGCTGTGGATGCCTGTTCTTCCCAAGTGACCTATACCTGTTTTTCCTGCCTCATCTTCCTTGCAAATATAGTACGGCCTCAGCAAGCTGCAGGCTGAACAGTGAGGGCTTGTCTAGCTTGTTGTTGGGTCTGAAGAGCAGTATCAGTAGAGTAAAAGCCTTTTCCAGTTTTCTTTGCCGTTTGTGCCCAGATGGGGAAAATAAAACCTGAAAAATATCCTTTTCTGACCAAGGAGAAGCAAAATCTATAAAGTCGAAATAGTGCCACTAACAGAGTTTTGACTCTTGAAACTGTAATCCTTTTAGTCAGATGAATCTTTGCTTCAAATAAAAAGTGCTTTTCTGAGCTCAATCCTGTTCCATTTTGTTTTGGGTTTGGGGAATAAGGCACCTTCTGTCCCACTCCCAACCTTCATCCCCTATACCCACAGAGCAGGCCAGTAATCTATGCTGCAGGGATGAGGACTTGGCTTTTCTTTTAGTTGGGGTCCCCTCACTTCAGAACTTTACCGATTTGGCTTTAGGGCAGTGGGTCTCATCCTGGCCTCGCACTGGATTCGCCTGGGAGCTTTTTGATGATTGGTGACGTCTGTACCTCACCCTGGAGACTGGGTTGTGGCCAGGACATCAAGAGTTTGCAAGCTCCGTGATTCTCAGTGATTCTAATGTGCAGCTAAGGCTGAGAACTGCAGCCTTAGGGCCAAATCAGGACATAAACCCGCTTTCCATTTCACAGATTACTTGGTTGTCCTGCTGCCTTTAAAGGCCGAAGTGAGATGTTTACTAAGCAGCACTACCTGAGAGACACTGCTTTTGTGAAGCCCATGTATAGACGAGGGAAGAAAAGCATAAGGAAATGGCACCCAGCTGGGTGAGGATGAGTACTTTCAGTAGGGGTACAAAAGTAAAGGCTTTGAGGCCCTAGTGCTGTTGCTTGTTTTTATTACTAACATTTCCTCATTCAGAATTGATAAAAGCCAAGAAAGGGATGGACTGGACAAGTGCTGACCTGAAAGTTTGTAAAGTTAGGTGGTTTTGTCACTGGCTTCGTCTATTGGATGCTTATAACTCCCATGATCAAGCCACATTAACTGCTTTGCAGGTCATCCATGTTTAAGATGCCCCCAAAGGAACAGTTAATTGGGCCACAGTGGTCCCTGGGCCTCACCCAAGAATGAAGAGGAGCACCAAGCCCCACCTGCATGGGCCGTTCCTCAGTACCTGGTGGCCTTGGGCCTGGTCCCCTCCAGGCATCTGCTTATCCTGGTGGTCCAGTTTCCCCTGCTGAAGTAGGCAGGTCCCACCTTATTCCAAGTTAAGCTGCAAACCTCCTAAATCACCCTCTGATTTCAAGAGTGGACTTTAGTTTTATTATAATAGTTTCTTCTGTGACCTGATCCCCACCCTGTTTCTCCAGTTAGTCAATAGTTGGTATAAATACATTGAAAAACTTTGAGGCAATCTCTAGTAAGTTTTAAAATCAGTGACCTGCACTGCAGATCCCTGTTGAAGATGGACTGCTATAGCAAGACAGTTTCAAAGTCAGCCCGGAGCATAGACAAGATAAAAGGCAAACCTGTGCAAACTCCCCTCCCTACTGCTATCAGAAACCCTTAGAATTTGAGGCCTTGCCCTTTAGAAGGAGCCATGCCTGCAGTGGGGAAGGAGGAAGAGAATGAAGCCCTGCCACGAAGGATGGGGAGAACATCTTGTTCTGCATTGTGAAGCTCTAGTAGTTTTGGCAGTTGATAGTCTCAGGTGGGGCCTTGTTTTTGATGCTGAAAAGTGTGGTGTGAGGGAGAGATGGTGAGTCTACACAGCTCAGGGGCCACCTGTGTTCCACTAACTATCCAAGAAGCAGGTGGACATGAGAGGGTTCATGGATCCAGATGGGTGCTGCTTTGGCAATGGAGTCTCCTCCCAGTTTTCAGATGGTGTCCCCAGGGGGTGGAGCTGTGCCCAGGGAGGGGCTCTTTCCTCTGCAGGAATAGCACTCTGTCCCCAGTCTGAGCTCTGTCCAACCTCACACACAGGAAGGGCAGCTACTGACATGCTTAGGGAGCAGTACACTGAGAGTTCCTGTTTCCAGCCTCCAAGATTGTATTTTATGGCAAGAAGAGCAACCCTGAAGAAAATGCTGCCCATGGGTTTATAAGAGTTATCTGTTTCAGGCTGATGGGTGGAATCATAGAATGTTAGAGATGGAAAGGACTATGGTGGTCATTTAGTGTTTCCCTAAGCCAGTGTTTGCACATTTATTTTTGGCTGTAGACTCCATTCTTCAAAAGAAATCATAGATGGACCCTCAATATGTTAACCAGATGAAGGCAGAGCTGCTGTGGTTTAAGTAGGGGAGGAATCTGGGAACCAAGCCAGCCAACACCCCGTCCCATATCCTCCACCCATGAGGACCCTGGCACAGTTTCAAAGTCTGGGGATCCAACCCTTTGTTTTTGTTTTAAACTATTAAAAAGATTTATTTCACACAGGTGCTGGTGTTCAGGAATTCTAGAGTAGCTTTTCTGGGTGGTTCTGAGTCGGCGTCTCTCATAAGACTGGAGTAAATACAATGTCTGGAACTGCAGTCATGCAAAGGTGTGACTGAAGCCGGAGGATCTGATTCCCAGATGACTCACTCAGTTACTGGCAAGTCAGTAGCAGGTATTGGCAGGAGGCCTCAGTTCTTCACTCTGTGTATCTTCCCCCATAGCTGCCAGAGCATTGATAATGTGGTGACTGAGTCTCCCTGAGTGATCCCAGAGAATACAAAGTGGAAGCCACAACATCTTTCATTATCTAACCTCAGAAGCCTCACAGCATCATTTCCACAATATCCTACAACATGTTAGCCCTATCCACTGAGCTGGATACTACTATCTGCAATTGGAGAAGTGCATATTGTTTAGAAGGTGTTTCAGAAGTAACCATAAACGTGAAAATGATACTTCAAAAGAATATATGTTCAGATTAGCAACAACAAAACACTCTGAGGATCAGGGAGGTGAAGTGACTAACCAAAGTTCACACAGCAATTTAGTGACAGAAATGGGCCTAGAATCCAGGTCTCTGGAATCTAGTTTATTGCATTACTTCATCATATTATTATAATGGCATCCATTACAATGGATGTACAAAAGTTACAGTAAATTCTTCATGTATAAAACTTTACTGCCAGGCAATCAAGGTTAACATTGATACTGATAGGTTGTGTTGATAATATGTACACTTGATATTATGTGATGAGAATGGCACTTGACCTCCATGAACTTCCTTCCAAAAACCAAAACCCTTGTTTAATCATGAGGGAAACATCAGACTAATCACAATTGAGGGTTATTCTACAAAATACCTGACCAGTACTCCTCAAAACCATTAAGGTCATTGGTCATCAAAAACTAGGAAAGTCTCAGAAACTCACAGCCAAGAGGAGCCTGAGGAAACATTATGACTAAATGTAATGTGGATGGGCTCCTGGGACAGAAGGAGGATATTAAGTAAAAACTAAGGCAAGGCAATCTGAATAAAGTATGGACTTGAGTTAATAAGTTATCAATGTTGGTTCATTATACCAAATATACCATAGTAATGTAAGATGTTAATAATAGGAAAGTAGGTGTGGAGTATATGGGAACTCTCTACTATCATTGTCATTTTTCTGTAAACCTAAAAGTATTCTAAAATAAAATGCCTACTAAAAGGAAACTTGATAAAACACCAAGAATGAGTGGTCTTTCTAAATGAAAGACATTAAGTCTACCTAGATTACTTAGGTAGGTATGAAATGCCCATAACTTAGGTAGGCAAAAAATGCCCATTAACTTTCTTAGATCAAGAAGAAAAAGTTATTAGCAAGGATACAGATTTGAATGGCATAATTACTAATCTTGTTCTTGGAGAACATATTTTGAAGCACATACAGAACATTCATGTAAATCAATGATATGATAGGCCAAAGTGCTGGCCTCAACAAATTTCAAAGAACTGATATGACATGGATCATATTCCTATGGCCAGAATTATATAAAATTATAAAACCATAACAAATAATAAACTAGAAACTACTCACACACTTTTGAAAATTTTGAAACAGATATACAATCAACTCAAGGGTAAAGAAGAAAAAGTAACAGCAAACACTATATACAGCATTTATTAATTACCCAATGTCCCTAACACTGTTTTAAGAGTTTTATATAGGAGTGCCTCTTTCATGTTTATTTTGGCCAGTCTGATGACTGTGTGTGGTGTTTGCCTTTTGCAATGAATCTCCCAGGAGTCTTTTGAACTTCTTGTACCTGGATATCTAGATTTCTAGCATAGCCAGTGAAATTTTCCTCAATTATTCCCTCAGATAGGTTTTCCAACTCTTTTATATTTTCTTCTTCACCCTCAGGAATGCTTATGACTCTTATGTTGGCCTCTTTACATAATCCCATATTTCTTGTAGGCTTTGCTCATTCCTCTTATTTCTATGCTGTATCTCTGTGACTGACCTGTTTAATGCAGAGGTGTTGACCTTAAGCTCTGAGATTCTTCTGCCTGATCTAACCTATTCTTAAGGCTTTCCACTGTGTTTTGTCATTCCTTGAATGAATTTTTCATTTCTAGAAGTTGTTTGATTTTTCTTTAATAATTCCATTTCTTTAGTGAATTTTTCATTCATTTCCTGCATTGTTTTGTGCTTTCTTTGTGTTGGGTTTCTATTTTCTCTTGTATTTTATTGAGCTTCCATACAATCCATGTTCGAAATTCTTTCTGACACTTCCTAGAAGGAACAAGCTGCAATGTTGGTTTTGGGTCCTGTAACCAGCTATAGTTCCTCAGGAGAAGCACTCTAATGTCCTAGGTGGCGTACGGGGCCCTAGAACTTCCAGGTGACTCCATATTCTCCACCACAGCAGACCCAGGTAGGGGAATGAGGGTAGGTGGGGCTGGGTTGAGTGGGCCTGCCATCAAGCTCCACAAATGCAGGCAAGGGATCTGCAGGGGTCAAAAGTCTGCTCCCTGCCTCTGGACAAAGCTGCCAGGGAGGGGCTGAAGTGGCCCCACTCCACCAGAAAGTCTGCTTATGAAAACGGGGCTGTCTGAAACCCACAAGCTAGCAGTCTGGAGCAGGCCTCACTCCTTTCCAACCTCCCCTATTCCACGCTTTCTTCTAGGCCTCTGCCAGCAGACAGGACTTCAAGCTAGCTGAGCTCCCCTACAACTGTGATGCAGGCCAGGAATTTTCCTGCCCAGGATCCTGGCCTGAGCTGGGGACACAGCCCTCCCATGGGAGCAGGGGTGCCCCACAAGCATGCCACAGCTAGGATCCACACTGCACTCTCCCCCTGATCTGCCCCTGTGG